TACAAAGCCGTTGAAACTCGTCCACTATGGGTGTGGCATTCACACGATACAATTTCTGGTCCCTTATTGTGCCCAATCCAGGTCGTTTTACGACCTTATAGCGGCATGTATGGTGTAAGGGGAGCCTTGAATTCATACAATAGGGGAATCTCAGAAAAGTTTTCATCGTCAACTGTGCTTTTAAAGTTTTTCGGAGTGTTAACTATCACGCTTGACGAAGACCAGCTTCTAACTACTTGCAGCTCAGATCGATGAACCTCTAACTAAGTAGAAATTCTAACAAGTCACTCTCGTCAGTTAATCAGTTACGCAAAAAAGCAACCGCTTAGATTCGTAAATTTATGTGTGGTTTGCAAAACGTCAAGGCCCAACTGTTAGCGAAAACACGACACGGCTCATAAGAACAAGCAGTTGGAAAGCTAGAGCGTACTGCTCCAATATTCCATTACATTCATTGAAGGGTCGGGTCACTTTACATAGACTCTGAAGTACCGCTTCCCGGAATCAGATATCAAGCTTCGAATCATCTCGACAGGAGTTCTGAATGCGCTCAGTAGATTCCAGCGCGAAAGGCGCTCCACCCAGACACGCGAACAATGGGAGGGTGGCAAGGAAATCCGGGTAAGAATACAACGGGATGATGTACGCCTTTCTGCCAGTGATAAAGGTGGAGAATTTCTAGCATCACCCCAGTCTTCAGGAAGGGAATCACAGAACTTTATCTAGCAGACGCAACAGTCTACCGGAAATTGACAGAAAGGCCTTTCATATGCAAACACACAAATTAAACACCTTGTGGGTCGAAGAAGGGAAGATAGCAAAATTGGATGAATGACTTATTATAAGGACAAAGCTGGAAACCACATGTTCCCGGTATTCCATAACCTTAACAAAAGCCATAAGTTGTCTGCTGGAAACATGCATTCATCTCTGCCGCAGGTTCACGAAGTAGGGTCTAAGAACAATTGCAGTGATGGACCGACCGATCGCATTTCATGGGTTCTGAACATAATTATCGGTCATTTCCCTATCCGTATACCATCGCATCTGTCGAATATGGACCAATTCTTGAATCGTACATGCTTACGGATTTCAACGCAACTGCGTAGTCGAGTCAGTTGACGTGTCTGCGCTCAACACAAACACTAGGATCAACGAACCTCTGCAAACAGTTCCAGAAATGCTTGACTAGCACCGAAGAAGTGTTGTGACGTTTGGATTGAGCAGAGCAGGCAATGTCTCCCATCAAGGAGTGCTTGATCTGCAATATATTCAGGTGATCCGCCGGCTGGGCCAGCGGCTTGCACCAGATATTGCTGTCTGCTTTCTGCAATGTAAGGTGGTCAGAAAAAGAAGCTCCTAGAATATCTTTGCAATGGACACACACTTGACAGTGTGATATACGAAGCATGAGAGGTGAGAAGTTCTACAACATTCCATCTTGACTTTTTTGCCTGACTAGTTTGTCTAACCCCTATTCTTCGATTGCGCAATTGAAAGGTTCACAGTTTTTGAAAATGCACTAATTGAAAACGGGTTCGGTAGTTAAAGGATGATATGATTACTGCTTACATCAGGTGGTTGTTTCAATCAATTATTCAGCTACATTGTGGTAGTCTTTCAAGAATGAAAAATCATAAGAAGTTGTTAAGTGTGGACTTCGTATCCGCTCTCGCAGTGTCTTTATGTGTTCTCTTGGGTGTTCTCTCCGGTCATGGATGGATTTTGCTTATCCTTTTTCCTTCCATGATTGTTATATTCCGTAGAAGAACATACAAAGTTGCATGTACTCAAATTGGCAAACCGACACATCGAGTCAATGTTTTATAAAAAATAAGAACACAAATTTGTTAACCTGTGGGAAGGGTTTATACCAATCATCATCAATAGGACGAAAAAAGTAAATAATGAACATTAGGAAAGATCAATATCGGCTCACTGAAGCTATTTAATGCATCTTGAACAAACAAACAGTGAGAGCGTGTATTCGTTGAATTCCTTCCACAACTCGACTTACTGTCGCTACTACCATATCATCTCTGATGCAATATTTTTTACATTTGCGGATAGACTGCTTCAGGAATGTGTTCCAGTCGGTGTTTATCGCACAATGTTTGAGATATGAATGGTTCCTTCCAGTTTTAGTTCACAGAAAAGGCAATGAATCGTTAAAAGCGATGCATAAATGAATAGACTTTTTTAAACTGGACCGGTTTTCGCGAAGCACATAGGGAACACACGAATTTTGAAACCTTCAGTGTTCCTTTCTGATAATAAAAACTGTTCTGCAGACATGCTAGTGTTCTCAGGTCATCATCTGCTGCCGAACAACCTTGCAAAAAAAAACGATACTTGAAAGTATGTTTCAGCCGTTCACTATTTCATTCATTTACCGTTCCTTTACAGCCGGTCCTAAGAAGGATCGGTGAACGATTTTTCTCTTCTTCAAGGCATATCTGTCATCCTTTTATATGTGTTCTGGTTTATGTCTTGATGGCATATGTTTTCCGAATTGGCCACAAAAAACTGCAAAGAAGACCGTGGTGGGCGTGGTCGAAGGGGCTCCGTAACTGGTTTCGAATGGAAAATTTCAGTGAGAATCGTTGTGTAACACAATTCACCGAACATATTATTGCGAGCACTTTCATAGCTATTTCATTGTTGTTACTGCCTTCACACAGTCTACGAACCCTTGCTGACAATATTATATTGGCTTTTAAAAAATTGTAATACATCTTATGTCCTCTTCTGTTGCTACGTCGTGATCGCCGAAATTTGCATAAGATAAACCTTTACGCAACAATGTGTGCTTTACAGTGTTCTGAAGACTGAACCATATCTTTTCTTTGTTACATTCCATTGAATGGGTAGCTCTGCCGCGCTCAAAAACATAAATGAGAGGAACGTAAAATTCATGATATCTGTCGTAAATTTCTCTACAACTTCCTAGCTGAAATATTTCTTAATCTGATCACGTGAATTTTTTTTCAAATGGGCGAAAAACCGCGTATAGCTTCCATAGTGTTACATTTGGTGTAACGAACCTCCATATCCCATGTTGGAATTCCGTAGAGACGAAAGCCTATTCACTCATATCCGTGTCATTCATTTATTTAGAGTAACGTTCAGTGCTGTGAAGAATTCGTCACACCGAGGTAATGCTCAATCTTTGCAAATGCTATTGCTCTCGCCGTCTCTAATGGAAATCATGGTTCCAAATGAATTTTCGGGTTTCCCCAAAAGTGTTATGATATTTTTCTACCTTTGCAATTCTCACATAGATGTTAATGTATTAGGAACTGTTGAGAACCATGAAAACGTTCTTTCGAATGGAATTTTTCGAGGTTCGTTTTCCAGAAATGTCCTGGACCTTATTTGTCAAGGAATCTACCACGCTGTGAAAGAACCGCCAGAAATAGTGTTCCAAAAGTCAATGCTGTTGTGAAAGGGAAAACCAGTGAAACCCTTGCATATGAAATGATATCAGATCAGATAATGTCAGAAAAAAGAACTCATCAGAGCACCATGTTCAACGGTATAAGCAGGAATCTCATTTGAAGCTTTATCGATGGACTTTCTTGGTTTTTCGTCTGCGGCCGACATCCAATTACCCTTGGATTATATTGAAAAAATAGCTCATCATTCATATAACTTCGAAGCAAAAGGGAGCACAACAGATAATGTTCCTTTTGACATAGCTTTTCTTTCGAAATCCGTAGTCTTTATCCAATATTCCATAGAAACCAATCCCGCGATGCAGCTTTTCCAAAGCTTCTATTCCATACTAGAAACAAAGAGACTGTTTTCTATCCACATAATCGCTACAGGAGTGTAGCCTCGAATTCGTGCGCAGGACTTGATTGTGAGATGCAGTTACCGACTGCTATGTTTGACCTACACCACCTCCCCCCCCCCCCCCCCCCCCCCCCCCCCCCGCCCNCAGAAATAAATGGATCCTAGTGCTACCCTGACGGTAAGGATTTTGATCAGCACAGCAAGTCCTATTGTAAGGGACTGAAGTTTATGGAGTGGAAAAAATTAGACTCGATTCCAGGTCAGTTGTTCGTATGACTGAGAAACTATATGCCTTGATTCACTCTAGGCTCAGCTGGTAATCTAAGGAATTACTAGGAACAATATTTCACCCTTAAGATTGTACATCTGATCTTGCCGTAGTCTCTCGGCATTATGACTAATTTTTAATGACAACAGATCAGTTCCAGTTCCATGCAGACCCAATGCTCATCACACTGGCTGCCGCTTTTCCTGAGGGGAGTATGGTGTGGAGCATGTGTTACATAAGATTGTAGTTCAAACAAAGAAAGATTATCCGTTGGTTAGCACGCCGTGCAGAAATAAGAAAGAAAATTTGGTTGTCAACCGAGTGATCAATCAAATGACTATTAGATCAGAGTAGAAAAGTCAGGGAACTCGTTGAACGTGACGAGAAGATAGGCGTATTGTAAAGGGGTCAGAGCTTTGAGCGGACCGCATCAAGAATCGGGACCAAATAAAACCTCAGCGCACTCAGCGGTCCTGCAGACTGAGAGATCAAGCACAACGAGGCCCACCTAAATTGAAGTTGATTTGATTGATTATTCGAGAAGAACGTTCCTTCCTGTTGTGGGCCCAAGGTAAGCTGAGATTTTTCCATCCAGAATAATAGGTAACAACGACTGCTTTCTCATCCTGTCACTTCACTCGGAGAACAAGCTTTCGATGGTAAGAACATAGAGTTCTGGGCCGAAAATCATTGCTGTTTTCCAGCCAACAGTGAGTATGGTGTTTATTACAAGTTCGTTACATGTTTATTTGTTTACTTACTCAATTATTTATGTATTTGTACCTTTCAAAAGATGCAAATCTGAGCCTAGTTCTCCTGTGTCTTCTTCATTGCACTTTTTCTGGCATTCCACCATCCGCCCTTTTTGTTTACGTGACAACCATTACATTTTGCTTCCAAGAAAAAAGTCATGAGATTGTGTCAACGAATTTTTCAGATGCGGTTTGTGTTGTTGATATTGTTGGTGGCCGAGGCACATGGAGCTAGTCGCAGCTTCGATAAAGTGAGTGCTTCGATGTAGCATCATTATACATTTTTATAAATCCACATTGGTAAATAAATTTCAAAGCCCCCGAAGACTATGGAATGGCAATGCAGTTGCCAATTATTTATTTTAATTACCTAACCAAATAGCATTCTCGAATCGAGCCTATGCCAGCGTGATTGGCCACCAGCGACAGCTTGATAACGCCGGTGCAGGTGCTAAACGGAGAAAGCGAATCTATTGTTTTGCCCAAGGCTACGGTTGCATGATGGCAAGGAAACAAGCAGTCATAAGCAGTTGTTTTCATGTAAGGGGAGTAATCACACTCACGTACATAATATCGCAGCTTAACTTCAGGAAGAACAAAAGGAGTTGGGGAAAAAACATACCTCACAAGGAAGAAAGATTTCGAAATAAACTGCGAAGGTAGAGAACGAATTTAATAGGTTGATGCGTAATTATTGCGGATTTTTTCGCGAGTCTTTTTTGTCGGT